GTCTCTGGGTCCTATGCGTGCCTAGCGGAGTATTTGGTCTATGTTTGCCGGCTAGGTGTTCTTTTATGCGGACACAGAGGCGAAACGGGCAGACCTCTCTGATGAGTGGGACACATTATACTTCCATGTGATTTCTGTGCGATTGGTCTCTACGTGACATATTTAGTGGAGACCTCATAGAAAGCGGTGAGTGTGCAAAGCTGTGTTCAATGTGATTGAAATCTTGGTTTAGAGTTTCTTTGTTTGGTTATGGAGGCGTCTGGCCAAGTAGATTGCTGTCAACTTGACCTTTCCAGGCTCTGAGGAAGGCGAAATCCGCCGAAGCGTCAGCTCATTCGTGAATAAAGAATAATAACACCTCGCGTTTGCTCAACAAAAATACAAAGAATTACTTGATCAATGCCGAGGTTAATAGAAAGTCGGTCGTGGGACTTACTTTTCAATCATCCCATAGTTAACGACCGCTGAAACCCCATTATCTGCCGTGAAGAGCTACGTATTCTCACGGGTAGTATGTTATGCTCATTCGGAGCAAATATTAGAGTGAAAAATAAAAAAAATAAACCTATCGGTGTTCATCATTTTCTGTTCAATAGTCGTGAATCCAATTGCATTCTTAGCATTGTGGATGTAACTGAATGCAGATCTGGTCTATGGACTACGGAGGTAGACTTGTTGTTGCCTATTCCACAAGTCGCTGCTTTCACCATCTCAGACAATATGATACCAACTTGTCTATTCCAGAAAAATGACAGGCGCAATTAAATCGTGGGATCGAACTAATGGCCACACAGGTGTTGCTGTACACCTCCAGCCACTGCGCTACATGCACCATGCGGAACAAGCACACCTTAGTTAATGCGCTGTGCCGCATGCTTCCTAATGGTACCCACCAGTCACGTGATCGCATGTCATACGAATTTCCGTGCGGAATATAAGCTCTGTGGATGACTATGTGACAAAGACCCCATCACCTGAGTTGGGCGGATGTGTACTGGTGCATAGTTGTTCCATATAGAGGATACAAACGTATCTAAGCCGATCAATATAAATAACAAAATAATTAGGCAACTATGAGAAGGAAAAGAATGCTTATTTTCTGTACTCAGAAAAAGCTGCGCAATACTTTGACGAATGAAAATCAACTGAGTATCAACATTAGAGCACTCGACAGAATTCTTCTGAAAATCAGCTTTCAGTTCCCATGTTAAACTAGATTTCACGCTGTATAGAGTAGAATATAAAGATTGGTGATACTACATAAGACGGCGAATTACGCGTCTAGTGTGAAACGCTGGTGGGTGGATGGTCAGTGTTGAAAGGAATGATATGTGTGTAATGACCGATTTCTTTTTTTGAGGTGGTAGAGCTCCAACATACGAGGAACATCCCATATTCTCGATCCAGTGAATGAGTGCCGAATAGAAATATTGACGATTGTTTTAGTTGGTATCACAACTCATAGAAGAAAGGAATTGCTTTGTGGGTTTGTGAGTGAAATCGTCGATATGTATCACTTACGAGATATTCTTATCTGCCCATCTTTCACGCAAGCCGTCCTTGTAGTTAGATTCGAGCATCCCATATGTGCTCCATGCCCAGGAATAACGAGCAAATGAACGTTGTGACGTGGAGCAAATAAATTTGAAGATGAGTTTTAGTAGCAACTAAAGATATTTTCCATGAATATCTAACTATACCGAATAACGGTGGAAAACTATTGGAAGCTGTGTTCGCCACTGCCTTGCCCAATCTTTAGAAGTGGCCCTGCAACGTACATGATTGGTGGTTCGATCAAGGGCCCATGATATAGAAAACCCATATACTCTTCTTCTCGATTCAGGAAATTAGTTCCAAACTTTTCTGCACTTATAAAAACACTGCCTTCACACATTAATAAGCCAACGAAAGTAACTGTAGAGGCCGGATATTTATTGAGTCACCTCTACGATGCTACGAATGGAGTCGAATGCTTGGCACAAGTCCTAAAGGTCTCAGCAATGTCAGACGTTTCACGCTTTTATTGCTCCATATAGAACTGGCATATTTTTCTTATCACGTTAGGCTTTTTACCTTTCTGTTTACATACGTACCTAGGAAATATTAACGGTACAAGATTTTCGGTCATTGTGCAAACGAATGAAGTTTCTACGAAACAGAAGCGTGAATTATGATTGAATGAACCTTGATAGTCGTTACACACCAAGCAATATCTTCCACAAAGTCTTAGGAACGTGATGCTCTTCAGTTACTTGAATAACTCCTCTGTAGCCCATATTCAGGGACGATACGTCTGGCTAACAGGCCTGTCCATCGTGGCAGTGTTCGCGTCGATTGTCTCAGTAAGGGATCTGCATTTGCCCGAATACAATCCACTTCAGCTCTTCATCACCTCAAATCCTCACGAATGGTCTGTTGTTTTCTGCATTAAATTGCTGTTTCTATGTCGAATCATTAATACAGGTACGACAACAATGCCGAGAAGACGTTTGCTTTTGTGGAGGAGAAAATCGCCATTCCATTATTCGCACGGCTCGTGTGGGGTGTGAAGGCTGTCAACTCGACAGCGATGTTCCAGCCAGATGCCGTCACTCCACTCGAGTAATCAGATCTCTTTTCGCATATCTATGTTGTTGTGTCATTTAGATAGAATTGCCGATAATACCATTCCATTGTGCCAGGGCCGATCTATCGTTCTCACTCGCGACGCCACAGGATGTACGAAAACTGGCCGGCACTCTCGCGTCATATCGGACTCTTCCGTTCATCAACTATTCGGAGACGTTTTGGCCGGAGAAATTCCTCAGTTGGAGTGATGAGTACCCTTGTGTCTCTGGGCAAGTATTTCATTGGCTAACCAAGAAAAGCATAATAATTTTTTTTCGCCCTCCGACAACTAGACGATCTTGATTTTTCACGTATCAGTCTTCGTCTACCACTGAAAGTTGCTATTACGTCAGTCCTGGCCAATTATATTTGGATGGAATTTAGAACACCTCTTATCAACAGAATAACACGTGCGGACCGACTTTTTTACCGTTATAAATACAACACAGCAATGCTGAGATATTTGCAAAACTCGGACCCCAGACCAGTTTCGAACTCGCTATTACCCTTTCCGGAGGCTCCGTGCTACCCACTGTACCATGGAGACCTTGGCTTTGCCTTTCTTTCAGCCAGTTTTTTGCCGTAACAACTTCACCAGAAACAAGTTGCAATTTAGCATTTCGGTTTTTTAGAAATACTCAATTCACTATTAAAATTTCAACTGAGGTTCGCAAATTTTCGACGAGCTTTATGGATATTTGTAGTGGTCTTTCTAGCTTTTAGCAAGTTTCGCTCTGCTCTGTCATCCATGTGGTTTTCCATTGTTTTTATCCACGTCCCGGTCTTTGTGGTGAATTTGTTGCTATCTAAGAGAAACAGAATTCATTCTCCCTCGATGGGGTGCCAGTTGAAGCGTCAGAGAAAAACGCACTATCGGCAATAGCGTTGTATTGGTTTTCTCGGTTCTCTGGATAAGATGACAACCATCCATATATGCCTTTGTGAATATCTACGGCGTTGTTGATGACGGCCGAAGATAGTGCAGCCTCATTTCCTGTTCTTTGTCGAATTCATTTCTTTTGAGAAAAGATGTTGCGATAAGAACGTAACGGCAATATCCCGTGCAAAATTTGTGATAACAATTACTGTGACATAGAGAGTGCTTGGTTAAATATGTGTTTAGCATTCTCATTGTGGTGCTGTCAGTCAGGCATCTCAATGTAGTGAGTGGCCTTTGTGACCGGGTTTAGCATGGATGGTGGTGACGGCCTTGGTTCGATGCTAGGGCCTTGCCGACAAAAATTGTCAAGCAACCAGGTGTAATGTCAGCAATTTGTTTATCTCAATCGATTCAAATTGATAAGCGGACGAATCTATTTTTATAGCTATCTACGTTCTGCTTTTTATTACGCTGTATTGTTGCTGGAATGAATGCGTTTCGCTAAATGCTATATGTATTATGGGATTGGAAAACCAATATAGAGAATCCAAAATCGAGTGTAGCCCTCTTTCTACCAGTGCCACATATCATCTCACCATCGATTATCACCTCTTTTTTCTATATGATTCCACTTCTCATGCCGCTCCCCAATCTTAGCACTTCTTTCGTTCGATACGTTTTCTCGCTTTATCACTCGACGACGAAACTCTTTGGATTTATGACTTCGGCTACATTTTGAGAATATCTGCTTTCTTTATGAATGTTGTCGTGCCAGTCAGAGTATCTCTCGTCCTCCCTCGCCATTCGACGAATTCAGCTCCAGGGTCACTCTTGTATCGTTCCGTCGACGAACTTGGGTAAGTTAAACTAATTGCCGTCGTAGTCCACGTGTCTCTTGTTAAGAAAGCACATGAGGAAAAATCACGTGGACAGCTGTGCATATGGATGCACTTTGTTCTTAAAGAAAAATTACAGGAGAGATCTATTAAACTCCAATAATGGAAGAGGCAACCGACCTTAATGTCCTCTTGATCGCAACGATACCAGTGTTTTACTGAGAGGATCACAGCCGTCATCTTCTGTAAATCAATTTTGCCAGTTTTTACAGTTTGCGACATTGAATGCACTTATATCAAGTTAGACTACCACAATAGCGTTCAAATATCCGTATGGTTCAATATTTCAGAGGATCGATTTTAAGGCTGGTGAAAATTACGAGTTTTAGGTAATTTCCTTCGTCCATAAGCGTAGGTTTCCTATGTAGGGAACACGGCAAGCACACCGAAATACTAAGGACTGCCATAGTAGAATCGGCTACATGAACATATCCGCTCTATTCTCTCACTCATGCGATTGCACTTTTTGTAATGTGTATAGCTTCAGTTGCTTTACACCATCTAGATTCAGGACTTTCGGATCGTGGGAACTTCACAATACAACCATCTCAATATCTTATCTATGTTTCGATTTAAAATGAAATAGGCAGTAAATAGAAAGCTAAGCATTGTGATTTCGATAGCAACTTCAGCTTGACTGAGTTGATTTCTGATTGGTGCCACCCAGATCGTTTCCGTTGACGGGTGATTGTTGATGGCACCGTTAGGATAAAAAGAATGGGTGAGAGAAGTGCAAAGCAAGGGACCCAGTGGTAAAGTGGGTAACTCATGAGCCCACGGAAAGGGTAATCGCGACTTCGAATTTGGCGTGGTGTCCAAATACTTTGCAAATATCTCTACATCATAGTGGTTGTATTCTCTGAAGATTTCGGTGTCGTATGAAATAGTAGCCAAGATCTAATCGGCAGTGCGATCTTGTGTCGAATTGTTGAAAAAAACGGCGCACATTTTACACTTTGCATCTTTAAAAAAGTCTTCTAATGAAAGTAAAACAAAAGAGTAACACTCCAGGAGAATTCAGAGGTTCCAGCGGAAACCTTTGAGCTGCTGTGCGCACACGCATGTCATTACTTCCAGTGGAAAAGATACATATTCCCCACTATTCGTTTCCTATTAAGTAATTTTTTGCTATGAAGCAGAACGTTTAACTCGGTTACCCCTGTGTGACGCTCTAGGACTAAAGTATAGATCCATGCTGTGGATGTTTGCTTGCTTTCAGGTTCGTATGTTGCAACATTTCTCATCCAACGTTTAATAATGTCTATATGGATTATTGTCTGCGCAATTCAACTTCGTTCATCGTGATCTCCTACAATGATACGCCACTTTTCGACAACAGTTCGTTCGCACTGACGGGGTGAGCTTTCTTCAAACTATTTGAGATCACTTATACTTCAGCCTGTGCAGTATCAATTCCAAGTTAAAAGTGCTGACGAAGTAGTTGGCGTTCTACTAAACTCGTAGTAATCGCGATATCGTTTAGTCCGTAGCTTTTCAGATATACGGCACTTCTACCAACGCAGCTTTCCTATTCACACCGTTTTCATCGTCTAGAGCACTCATTCACCCTTCTTGGGGCTCTCTCGTCACCGGATGGATGGTGGGCTCCAGAATGGGCAGTCATCTCTACTTGGTAAGGATTTCCCTCATTATTCTCAGAATAACACTTTGTTAGCGAACAGTTAGGTGCTATTCGCAGCACACTTAATGGAAAACCTATAGAATAGATATTGCTGTATCCTTCTAAAGATTTTCTATGTATATAAATAATCGGACATAATCAGAGGGGAGGATAGCACAGTGGTAGTGATGTCCGTCGTCATGGGCTAGCTCGGTTTCGCTCCGCGCCAACCAAACCTGTCATCCCTCTGAGATCGGGAAATTGGTACCGGACTTATCTGAGAAAGAAGTCACTCTCTGCAATCCAACTGGGAACGCTCCAGTCAGGCTATCTCAGGACTCCAAGGAGAATTGTTCGACCGGCTTTCGACGACATTCAAGATGAGATGGAAATCCTCAAGCAGAAGCAGCATCCGCAGCTGCACAAAAAGTTGGAAGATTTTCCTTATATAATGGATGCGAGAAAACGAATTGGATGTGAAAAGTGCTTGGTTCCGCACAGGAGTCGTGTAGACGGATCAAATAAAATAAAAAAGATAAAAAATAGTAATATAGTAATAATAATAATAATAATAGTAAATAAATAGTAATATGGTAATAATAATAATAATAATAATAGTAAATAATAAGCCCACAAAGATTATATGCGCATATGTATGTATGTATGTATGTATATACGTTTGAATATACATATATATGTACATCTATATGCGTATGTCTGTATATATATATATATACATATGCACATATATATATACATATATATATATATATATATATATATATATATATATGATTTTGCAGGCTACTTTGCCACCTCTAAAACTTCTGAGTTTTTTGAAAAATTGAGAGCGAAATTCCAATTTTTAAAATTCCCAACGCTAGTGATCAGTTGCAGAATTCAATTTTATTTTGGGGAGGCACCATCACATCTTGTCTCACGAAATCATAACTGTTCGTCCTTTTCGCTGTTCAAAATATGATATTGAATGCAAGAAGTGCAAAAATTCGCCTCGTGGGTTCCGCAAAATTAGGATGTACTCACTGTAGAATTGGACGATTTGCATCTGATTATCAAGAATCTGTTGGTTCTATTCGTTTCCTTCTTTATACACTACGAGCTAGGATACCTTGGTCTAGAGTTGACAGCAGCCACTATGTTTGCACAGAATGTTCAATGCACATAGTCTATTATGTGCTAAAGATCTAATTGTGTTTTCCTTCCACGTATCAACAGTTGCGACTCGACTGATTCGTGGAAATTACTATAGTTCTTCGTTTTCATTGTTGTAATTTCCATGCACAGCGCTTCCCTCTATTTCTTTCAAGCTGATATGATTTGAAACCGCATGGAGTACGAATTCGGCTTTCCACGAGTGATCGCTCAGAATCAGAGGATTCGCTGCCACCAGAGTCGAAGTCGCAAGGCAGCACACCTTCGATTCGCAAAACCCATGACAACCTGTACTGAGGACTTGGGGGCGTTTCAGTCAACCATGCCGCAATTCCACAGCCCTCAAACAGCATTCGGGATGCAATGAGGAGAAAAGATGACAAGCATGAAGTCACAGCTGAACAAGTCCGATGATCATATGACAGAAACCAATAAGTCCTGGGACACACAGTATACAAAAAGTGGGGTTGTCAAAGTATCTTTTATATTGTTTATTACCGTCCCATGATTTTGCTTTTTCGTTACCGTGCCTTAAAAACAGCGAATGTTAAAACGGACCGAAAAAAATCCCAGCTTCGCTGGAGACATGGCGAAGGATCTCCAGCTGGTTAGATACTGCAAATACGTTGCTCGGAAACGAAGTGGTTGACTAAGGATGGATAAAAATGACTCTGTGTCTATCATGAAATCAAAATCTTTTAAGTTGATGAGCTTCCTATTTCAATTTTTTCGGAGTGCCATACCTACCGCACGCACGTAGAAATATCCATCCTATGGGTGTGCCTGTGTGGAGCTTATCTTGTACGTTAAATTAGCTAGCAATCTGAAATCAACTTAATACTTGATACTTACTTGGACTTGAACGGCCCGCCATCACTAGTTGTGCGGGCCCCAGTGCAATCACCATTTTCGGAGATTTACTGATTAAGCCATTGTGGTTCTCTGGAATCTCGAGGACAGCCTGGCCAAAGTCTGCCCCAGGTCGTCGCCACCACAGGCAGTTGCACCTCTTATGGATCAGAGTGAGATCCATCACACGACTAGTTTGATACCGGGACGGTGACGGGTCCTGGCATTGGTTTACTCTTAGCTGGGTTTCCTGATGGAAACGCTGGACTCGTCCTCAGCTTGGGAGACCCCGCCGGGGTAACGAGTCCCTCTGCTGTACGTCCCAGTCCGACACTCAGAAACACTTCCCATCCACGATGAGGCGGTAAACCGTTGGGAGTAATCTGAAACCAAATGGCTGAGAAGTATGCATTAGAAATCAGTTTACACAAGGAGAGCTTAACAAGCTGCCAATGAGTACAACCAGCTTGTACAGTAGACTAGGACATGGTATCTGAAGGTGTCTCACTGAATACTAAAATAATGTAGGCCTCATAGGAAAATTTGATGAACTTCTTATCATTTGCTCAAGTGGGGTTCAGTAAATAGCTCTGGCACGCCTCCGAGACGAATGGAGATTGTAAAAGTGCTCACGTGTCATTTCGTGGGTCACCGGTTTACAGATGAAATAACTAGTACAGTTTCATATATGAAATAGCTAGAGGTTGCTGTGATTTGACTGCTTATTTTGGGTTGTGTTTGAAAAGTTACTGTATGTAGATGTCGATGATTTATATTCAGGTATGATCTGCAGCGATCCATAGTGTCTGACGTACGTTCATCTGTTGTGGTGTCCATCAGCGTAGTGGCTCTGTTCTCGTTGTTGCAGTTGAAAATGCAGGTATGTCTTCTAATCCAAGAACATGTGACAATTTCTTTGCCTTCTTCTCACACATTGTCAATTACACCGAATTGGGCTTTCGGGCGTTTGTGCTTCGCGTTGTGCAAATCCAAGAGGTATTCCCTGTTGCCATCGTCGAAACGGGAGCGATAACTTTAGATGTATTCTTAGTCTGGCTCTGTTTCCTCTCTAAGAACTTTTAGGTGCACTGTTTCAAGTTCAATATCAAAAATCAGGAGGAGTGGGAAAGGTTGAACTTAAAAAACTTCGTATAATACAACTGTTTCAAATCAAGTTTAGCGCTACAAAAATTCCAATCTTACTGAGTTATTAAAGTATTATTCAAAAAGTGTCGAAAGACAACTAATTTTCTCTTGAGTACTTTATAATTGCATCTTTAAATGTGTAAAATAAAAAAGACTTACGATGAAAGCGTAGAAGGTGAATTTAGTTTAGCTCATGCCTTGCCAAAAACGGGATGGTGTTCAATGTTGCATAAGCAACGTCGCTATCCTATAACACATAAACAAGAATATGAATTGAATTCAATGTATCACTTTGAGGCAGTTGATTCAATGCGCAGAATCTCTTCCGCTAAACGCATTCAATCGATAGTTTCTTAACTACACAGATGTTGTGAGGCGTCTAACAAAAAAGGTTTCTATCTATAAATGAAGAACATATTGGAAGAATTTTTCGCTTTTTTTGAATCCCAAGGCCTGATTTTTGCTGGTAAGCTGGTGCAAAACTATCTGTTCGTTGTAGATGAACATAAACTCGAAAACGAAAACCTCTTACCACGACATTACAGTATGACATTGTGTACAGGTGTGAAGTGATGAATGTTCATTGTATATTTCGACAGATCACAGGTTTGCAAGCCTGCTCCTCACTTCCATTCACTGATTTTTTTCAAGCTTTATACTTTCGGTATTTATTTTACGATTAACAGTTATCGCAGCCTAACAATGTGCTCTTCTACACACGTACGACCTACACACTTCACAAGCGTACAGTTCTGGTACACAACTTCAAACCCATTGCAATCTGCAGCCTTAACATTCTGTAACTTCTACGTGGATACTTGGACACTTGGATGGTCCATCTTCACGAGTTGTGCGGATCCCAGCACATTTACCATTCGTTTCTTTCCCTCGCAATCGTCGTCCATGGTGGTGATTTTGTTCGAGCATAGTAGCGCATGCGAGTCTCATACCATGATCTGTAAAACAACTGCAGCTGCGGGTACAGCTGATTAACTTTGTTTACGAACACGTCCGCCTGTCGTGTAGGTGGCCGTCCAAGGGGACGCCTGCATTTTCGTGGAGTCTACACTTCTTTTCGTCCATCTGTCGTCTGTTGTTCTCATTATATGACCTGCCCATCTGTTTCGCTATTGTTGTATATTATCCATGGTCTCTAAGATGTGATAGATTTCGAAGATCAAATTCGACAACCAGCAATAGGCCTGTGACTTCTACGCAACTTGCAATTTTCGCAATCTTTAGAATTTCCACGCTTACTCACCGCTGTTAAGATAATCTAAATGATGCTTAATCTATTGGCTGCATCTAGTGTTTACCTGCTGGTCAGGAATTGCAGCAAACTTCAAGTGATGATATCTTGCTAATTTCTAATAACGGTCAAAACAACCTCAGTTTTTTCACTAAATCAGCTCCTACGTACGAAACCGTTAAAAAACAACCGTACTACCTGGTTGTTCCCAGGTACATACAGCAAGTACGAACAGTGGGTTTGTGTAGCATGTTGTACCTACATTTCTGCTTCTCTATAATTTAAATAAATACGGGTTATCGTCCACTTGTTTGCTCGTGTGTTAGTGAGAGCATGAATGGTGGATTGTGACAATGTGCAGGAGATCGTGAGGAATGAGTTCAAGATACAAGTGCATTTGGGTTGTCTTGAAATTGGCTGTGCCCAACGCCATCAATTAGCCATGAGTTCGTCCATTATTTGGAAAACAGAAACGATATTTTGGCTCATATGAAAAATTACAAAAATTTCATCATTCGAGCGGTGCTTCACTGAAGAAGATTCGACTCTATGTGGCAATGTAAACACCTTATCGAGAAGATGAACGACTGTGAGACCATCGACTCGAATCATCGGCTCTGAGGAAGACAAAGGCAAAGACGAAAAAGACAAGAGCCGAATAAAAGTTTTATAACAACCTCGTGTAATTCGAGCAATCTAAGGAAAAATATCACCAGTCAAGCTGTGGTGCATGGAGCAGAACGTTGTGAAAATGTAAATAAAAGTTGAGAAGCTATAATGTTTCCAGAATAACTCACTCTGTGCGATAACACATAGATCCTACTTACTTGCATGCTTGGGTGGCTTCTTTTCACTGGTTGTGCGGATCTCAGCATAATTTCTATTGTTTCGGAATTTTGCTCGTTTAGTCACTGAGGTTATCTGAAGTCCCAAGGTCACCCTAGCCAATGTCTACCCCAGGTCGTCACCACCACAGGCAGCCGCTCTTGTGGATAAGAGGGAAATTTGCCACTATGTGACAATCTTGATACCAGGACGATGGTGGATCCTGGTATTGGTTTGCTCTTAGCTGGGCTTCATGATGAAAACACTGGACTCCTTCTCAGGTTGGGAGACCCTGCTGGAGAGATGAATCTCCCGCTGTACATCGCAGTTCGACACCCAGGAACACCTCCCAGCCACGATGATGTGGTAAACCGCTAGGGGGGTAACACAGATCAACGAAGGCGACTCTGTAAACGATCAGTTCTATATACTGTAAACATCAGAGTACATCTCACACTTTCAGTGGTATACCATCTTGGCGAGGATATGATATTTTTATGCAGAGCGTTTAACTGAGTTAACAGAAAAGAGGATGAAGGAAAGCATACGAGCAAGTAGGGTTTCGAAAACAGTTCCGCACAATGGGTCACATTCTTCGACAGCATCCGCGTACAGATGAATACTTGGTTGAATCCGAAGAAAGCGATGTTCATGAAAAACGTAGTCGTTTTGCATTCCAAATTCACCTGAATGAAGATCTCTGAATGCATCTGCTATTTGCATCTTGGTCGAGACGTCAAAAAAGTTAACTAAATAGTTTTGGAGTCAACAACAGGAAGCGAGGGACTCAGGCAGTTACAACATCATTGAATACATGTTGACGAGGACATGGATTCTACCTTTTCAACTAAACCATTCTGTGGGTAAAGTGTCGGAATGGGGGACAACGTGATAGAAATGAAAGAACACTAAGATTTATTGAAGGTTCACGTTATTTAGAAGATAATGTTAGAAATATTCCATATCGTACAAACTAGAAAAGGAATCTATGGTTTCGATGAACGTCAAAAATCGGAATTAGAGTCGTTAGCGAAAGCTAGGTGGACTGGACACGTAATGCGCCTAAGCCATAAGCGCTGGACACGAATCGGTAGCGAGTAAGTCCCACGAGATTTCAAGAACACACAGCATGAATACCACCGACTCAATGGTTAGAATTTTTCACGATCCTCAAAGATCATAGAAGAAAATGCTCAGTAAATCTTTAGAGCTTCTAGAGGTTTCTTTTGGACGTGGAACAGAAAATTGGAGATTTTGCTGGCACATGCTTGACGTAGCTGGCGATTAGCGGGAGGACAGGTGATACGACTGATACACTTCTCGTCAGTACTATACTACGTTGTCATGAAGAAGAGATGTTGTTTGGTATCGAATCTCGATATTAAAGTACACTAGAGCCATTCTTAGTACACGACCCATCAGCCTCTGCTCGTTACCTATCCTTTTTTCATGGCAGGGTACAATAAGAGATACAACTGCAAAGACGCTGAAAAACGCGCAAAAATCCTTCAAAACTCGAATTATTACCCTTACCAGGGAAATCTGGGGAGCACAAATCGGCCTTCAACCCATTTAAGCTGAAGCTACATTCAGAAGTGTGCTATATGAAGTAAATCCATAAGAATGCTTAGATATGCGCAGAACTCAGGATCCCATCTGGCACCTTATTCGCGAACCCAAGTTGTGCGCATATCTCAGCATCCTCGTGGTTCTATTTATAAACTTAGACATTGTTCTTTTTGTAGATTGTGATCTGCGAGCAACAGTTCTGCGTTTTTTCACATGATGATCGATCTTCTTATTGGTGCTAAATCTGTCATTTTCAGGCTGTGGCGGCAGTGTTGACTTGTATGTGCATCATCGTGTGTGCCACGGGTTCTGTGGTGCTCCTCGGCTGGGAGATAGGAGTACTGGAAGCAGTGATTGTGGTTCTCGTTGTAGGCCTTTCGTTCGACTACACTCTGCACTTCGGAGCCGCGTTACCGAAGACGGGCTGCAAGTCCCATCGTATCAGACAAGCCGCCAACCTCGCCTCCACGCCGGTATCGCTCTCCGCCTTCACGTCGTTTCTTGCGGGAGCGTCCATGCTATTCTCTCAAACTCATGCGTTCTTACAGGTAGTTTATCTCAAACATGCGATCTCGCAACCCCTGGCTCAGCAGTGGTTGGCAGTCGTGACTAAACATTAATGAATAGCACAAATCAAAGCTTCATCTAGTCCAAACCCTATCGAAAGACGGCCATTTTATGACCAGCTAGAATTCGCGGACATCTTAGCACTTTTCACGAGGAACTCGGTGTTGCCTATCAGCTAGTTTTTGGCTAAGAAATTACACACTTAGTTGACAAAAGCCGTAGTGTCTCTTTTTCTTTCTCAAAATAAGATTCAGCAGGATTGAACAAATTTCTGGAACCGGATAGATATTAAAATCAAAAAGATGTTGGACCTTCATTCCATCGAAATATCGCTGTCTGGGTATTTTGTTCAACCTACTTTCGTTTCAGGTCGGTGTGTTCCTCATCGTGCTGACGCTTACCAGCTGGATCTTCGCTACTTTCTTCTTCCTACCACTTCTATCTTTTACCCTTTCCTCGCAAAAGCAGTGCAATGATTGTGCGAATTTGGTCGTTAATTCCTACCAAATGAATGAGAAAGTTCACTCTTAACGGGCTCGCACTAGACAGGTAGGTACGAAATTGATCTATATGATAGATTGCCAACCACAGTTATTACTACTTAATTTAACTGTAATGACTATACTGTTCAGATACTCCACTTCTCTCAAGACTTGTCATGCCCACATTCCTCCCTCTGCAACTCCATGTGAGAATTGTAAGGGACGCATACAGGTACTATGACTTCATCGACAATTGTAAATACACTTTCGCTAGATCCAGAATCTATTTCTACCTTATTAATTGTACGGGTATTATTAGGTTTACTTCTGTTTTTGTTCATTGTTGTAGAAGTGCTGGTTTGTCAGTATCGCCGAGAAACAATTTATTACTGGCTGAGAGAAAGGCAAAGCAAGGGCCTAGGTTGATGTTGTGGATAACCTGTGAGCCTGGAAAGGGTATTCTCCTGTTCGAAGCCCAACTGAGGTTCCGAGTTTTGCTCACATCCAGCATCGTTGTGGTTGTATTTGACATAATACGCCGCCATGGAAAAAAAAATAGGTAGTAAATGATAGTTAAAGAAACAATTTATTAATACTAGCTAGTGTAATCATTACAACAAATCACTACAACAGCAGCATTAAAAGGATAGCACCTGCATTAGAAATAAACCGCAAGCACACAAAATGAATCTAAATAGCTATAAATTGAGACATTATGATGCACTTAACATTTATACACTCTAGAAAGACTAAATTGAGATCAAAAGGCGTAAGCAGATTGAAACGGATTCTATTATGCTAAAATTAAGTTAGTAACCGAGCAATTCATCAATGGAAAATCGACTACTATTACTGAGTTGCGTAATCACAGGTTCACCTTACATAAGGCACTGTAGACCCTGTTTACGCTGGGAAGAAGTTAAAGCAACGAAATCGGACATTCTAATACAAAACTCATCACTTTTTTTGAAGCACTGCAGAAGTTTAGCTCACTCAACGCAAGTCGAAAATCTTTGGCATAAATAAGTTGCAAAGAACGCTTCGCCTAGCGCGTTTTTTTACACTTCGGGCTTCCTAATCGAATTTTCCACATTTTTAAGCACTATTTCTTAATACAACTAAAGCAAAACATGTCAAGAGTATCTCCAAATTTAATAGCACGACAGTGATTTGAGTTCTTTGTCCTAACTTTGAATTTGCCTAAATCGCTCAAGAGACACTATCTTTTCTTTCTGGAAACCCTTTTTTTGGCCCACTCCTATTCTGCTTTTGAGGACGATGAATTAACTTCCGTACTTCTAGTATTCCCAGCAGTAATTCGCGACCGACATCTTTGAGGTCCTTTGTACCAATCTGCAAACCTACTTCATAACAAGTGATGCTGATATGATGTGCTGGCAATGCTAACCTGGTAACCTTTGAAAGCACCCGTTTCGAATCCAAAGAACGTAGATTCCATAGTATAAGCGTTTGAAACGCCAAACTGTCTCCACACAGTCACCCTCGCTGACGATTCCTTTCGTCTGGTTATTCCAAACTGACAAAGGTTAAACGAGAAGGCAGCAGAAGTCTAAAAATATACTGCCTTCGTTTTCTGTCTAATCCTATGATTTCACTTCATTCTGATATTTTTGAGCAAACCTAATTCGACAATACGGTAATGAGCTATTTTCTATGTCGAACAAAATACTAAATGAAACAGATGAAAGTGGTTGAGAATTGCAGAACAGAAGTTTTTGAAAAGAGTTCCAATGGCTATGGGAACTACTCAAAGGACACTTAACTGCTATAGGCTTTCATTTGTTGGAGAAGACTACCTTCTAGTGTATTAACAATAATATCCATACGTTATACATGACTGGAGGGCGAACGGCATAACATCCAATGCATTTTTTCAATGGATGATGTTGCTATTCAGTTTTTTAGCGCACTTTTTTGTACTCTGTCGATAGCTTGTCAAACAAGTGTTGTGTCAGGTGTGATGAAAAGCTTCTCTCAACACTTAAAAATCCATAGGGAATTTCTTCTCGGACTGGTTCATTGACTGACAACTGATTGATATTTCATTATGGTCACTACATGAATCACGATTATCATGTGGAATTAGTGGATATCAAAAACAGTGAAATAAACGCAAAACGCAACATAAGATGCAGAAAACTTTCGAATGATAACAGCAATGTGGTGGTATGGTGGACTCTAGTAGCATAAAGTAAATTTCAGCATATCTATTATTCATAGCCCTAAAACGAAAGAACAAAGACTCTTCAATACTGCGATGTTATCAACTCCTCAAGCCCTCTAGTTATCGAAAAAAAATATCACTTCCTACCAGCAACTCCGTAACCGACATGAAAGTCTTCCCCGCGACAGTCACTCAATTTTGAGTATCGAGTATTATGCGAATATTTGATTTATCTATATTTTCAGCTTAGGTGGGTTCAATACCGATTTGTGCTGCCCAGATCAATCCCGTACACGGATGATTGTTGATAGCACCTATGGGACAATAACACGGTTGAGAGAAAGGCGAAACGGACTTGAATGGTGTGGTGGTGAGCGCGTTAGCCCCAGAAAGGGTAACAGCGTGTTCGGTCCCCACTGCAGACACCAGCGGTCCAGAGTTTTGCAAATATCTCAACATCATTATATTATAACATCATATTTCACACAACATCCTGCCATTAAAAAAACAGTAGGCAGTAAATAAAAATTGACGACAGTAAAGCATAGCTTAAAACATTTCTGATACAACTAAAAATGAAGATGGAAGTACAGAAAACTACTACACTTCAACGAGCACAGATAGCTTACACACACCTGCTCGAAAATCTCTGGCAACTTCATGAATTCGTAATTGTGAGGAAGAACCCTGTCATCTGCTCTCCATGACTCCTCTGGATTGTTTCCGAACATGAACACATTTGCTCTTCGAGAATGGCCATGTAGATCGACAAAAACAAAAGGTGGGCGTTCTAATACATCACACTAAAATCAGAATAGCTCAAACCCTGTAAAAATGAATGAATAACGACAGTTCCTCTACCATATACTGAATGGTCGCTTTTGTGTGGTATATTTCGGGGTGAACGATACGATTTGGTTTATCCCATACTCTAAAATATATTCTTGGAAGAGATAAATTGTGTGAAGCACAAGCATTTCTAACACAGCGTTACACTACAAACAAAGGTGTTCTTATCCTACTAAAACACACGAAAATATTTGTGTTTACGATTAAAGTATACCTGTTTAAATCTTCACCCGATAAAGAACAACGGTGACTTCCGTTTATGACTCCATCAGGATTCAGCATTGGAACGATTTTGAACACAAATCTTCGACGCAGCTCTTCGACTACAGGATCCGAAGATATCAGTAAAGTCTCAAGTATACCTAAATCACCGTGGAGAAAAAGTACTTTCCATGTAAAAGAAAAGGTTAAAAGTTACAATTAAACACTTGCCCTACCCAGACTTATCAAAACGCTTAGAAATAACAACGCACTCGACAAAAATATGTTAACCGATGAACAATGCTTACCGTGCATCATCCAGCTCGCATTACTTTCTCCGGGATGTACTCTTGAACATAGAAATATGCAGTCCTTCTTTGCGATCTCAGATGTTGTACAAGGTGCTGTTATGGTAAGCAAATGTACAGGATTTCCTCCAAGCGATTTCCCAATGATGTCATTTGAGTAATATAGACTGCCAGGAATTCGTGACAAGAATCGCGAGATAATCGTCTATGTAACAGATCAATAATCATTAGATAGATAGTATTTCTGAAGTAAATACCAACTATAACAACCTTGAGATAGGAAAATGTGTAGGGGAAGTGGTACGCAAAATAGCACACATCTCCTTTATTTCGAAACGTAACATTGAAGCGAATGGAGTAGAAATCACTGAACATATAGTAACTATTCCTTAAATAGTTCCTATTCTCTACAATATCACATGTGTCCTATATTAACTATTTACTTATAACTATCTTAAATCTATCCATTCATAATGTATAAGTTTTTATACCGCTTCGACATGTAGTTTCGATAAAAGCCTCTGGCATACCATCTCATTTGATGTACTTCTCCGCAGGTGTCATGACGTGGGTCAGCACTGTCTCTGAGTCCCTCTGTGAAGCCCCACGTTATTCCATCTCATTCACATGACCTCTAGCCTTTCGGATAACTTTTATCCGCGAGCTGTTCCTTTGCTGTCTGATGGAGTTCTATGTTGACGAAGCCTCTGGCAAAGCTCCACCCACTACAGAAGTAATACAAGCAGCCTATCGGCATTCGTCTTCAAGTGTTCGCAGCGTTCGTTCTGTCTTCATCCAGTCTCTCGGTTCCTAAACGCTTCAGCTCTAGTGTCTACCTAGCCTTCTTCAGTTGCATCACTTGTTCCCATTTCAATCTCGCTCGTATATGTCCAGTTAACTACACATCGTCACATATTACATATTATTATTGTACTGTTCCCAGGATCGACTTTCTCTTAACCTCGGCATTGGAATATGAATGTGTCGTTTTCTTGTTCAGCAATCGCGAGGTTTTTAAACAGCATACATTTACTTCCATAAAAACACAATACAATACAACGCTAGCTGACGTTTCGGCAGTATCGCCTTCTTCAGAGCCGCTTTTTCGTGACTTCCAATGAGGAAGTTTAGAACAGCTGATTATAGTCGCATGTCTAAACTGTTCTAAACTTCCTCATTGGAAGTTACGAAAAAGCGGCTCTGAAGAAGGCGATACTGCCGAAACGTCAGCTAGCGTTGTATTGTATTGTGTTTTTATGGAAGTAAATGTATGCTGTTTAAAAACCTCGCGATTGCTGAACAAGAAAACGACACATTCATATTNAATATGAATGTGTCGTTTTCTTGTTCAGCAATCGCGAGGTTTTTAAACAGCATACATTTACTTCCATAAAAACACAATACAATACAACGCTAGCTGACGTTTCGGCAGTATCGCCTTCTTCAGAGCCGCTTTTTCGTAACTTCCAATGAGGAAGTTTAGAACAGTTTAGACATGCGACTATAATCAGCTGTTCTAAACTTCCTCATTGGAAGTCACGAAAAAGCGGCTCTGAAGAAGGCGATACTGCCGAAACGTCAGCTAGCGTTGTATTGTATTGTGTTTTTATGGAAGTAAATGTATGCTGTTTAAAAACCTCGCGATTGCTGAACAAGAAAACGACACATTCATATTGTACTGTTGTTATTGCTATAAACTGTTATAACCAAAACTCGAGATTGTCCACGGTCGTTACGGAAAAAAGTCCCGCGTGGCGAATTCATGCAAAGTCGAGCATTCCACGTACAGTTGGCGGACAAAAGAGAAATCCGACCAACTCCCTTAATCCATTCGTCAATTAACACAGAACATATGGTTAGTTAGAATCAAATGAAAATTGGCCATGACTTCGTTAATCGACGTATGACTTATAAATGACACGTGCACTACAGCAAAATAACAAACAAACAACAAAACTGACTGCTTTTTCACGGCATCTTCACCAATTTCACAACAATCTTCGGGAGTGTACAGGTTACGATAATAACATATGGATTCACCAGCGCGAACCCATCCTGGTTGACCTGCGAGAGCATCTCGAACCGAATACATTAGAGGTTGCATTCCTAAACATAAAGTTCACTACAGAAGGAAACGCAAAACGGGCAGACAAAAGTTCCATCACCTTTACTGTACATCGAAGTTGCCTTTAGGCAATTCAATATCTCAAATGTGTAAACGATGTCATTCACGATATTGGAAACCTGAAAAGACCAAAAACCAGAAGAATAAGAGCAATGCATAGTGCAAAAGAGACTAACCTCGAAATAAAACCATTGATAGTGCTCCTTCTGTTGATTGATGTCCGGCGATAAAATCAGCTCATAGTAGCTTGGCCCAACCTAACAAACATTGAACAAATGATTCACAATTAGTGGAAAACTTGAACACAAACGACTTTTCCTATCTTCTACACAAACGGTCGCTAATATGACTGAATAGATTAAAGTGAATATTTCAAGTGGATATATAAAAGCAAGTCGAGTAAAGCACCTGCGTTGCTCTACGAAGATTTCCACTTTCAAAACGACTTTCGAACAGCAAATGATTAAAGTTAGAATTCAAGTGACCAACCCTGAAAAATAAACGCTGAAAACTTTTACAAAGTAGACATTCTTCTTCCAAAATTGACATTAATAAAAAGAAATACACTTTGGATTATTTTGGAAAACCCAATTACCAAATGGAAGAAAACATGCAGACACATAAAAATCAGAAGCCATTCAAGAAATTTCTTTTTACTCCAAGATGGTACTTTGCCAACTTTTCAGAAGCTCTGTGGTTAACGTAAGTGAAAGACAGTGCTTTGGGCTCATCTTACACATTCCACACCTTAAAGACAAGATGGGTCATACAAAGCCCATGTTCTCTTTGGCCATTCATTTCAGCGTAGGTAGCTTTTTTGTTGCACTTTTTGTAATTACTAAATAGCCTACCCAAAACAGATACTGTACGAGAATCAGCTGGGAAGAAGCTCTATTCCACACGTGGAAATATAAAAAACATTATCTTCGAACGAATTCCTTGACAGCTAATTTGTTGGGTAATTGATTGCTGTACTAATTACTGCGGTGAATCGTAGTTATTGCATGGAATAAACAGGTATAACAGATACAGAACTCAATACAGGCTGCAAAGCACTTCCAAATTCTGACAGCAATTTGCTTGTATGACTGACGGTAGTAGCGTAAAGTATACATCAAAATACGTATTCTTACATCTAAAACGATACAGCAAGGTATCTTCTGCCATTTTGTCATACTGCCAACCTCTCATGTTCTCTAGATATTTCGGGTTCGGATCTGACTTAGAGTATGAATTTTGTAAATGTTTTAGCACCACTGTGGTTGTATTTCAGACAATACCTTTCCATGGAAAAAATTTAGGCAGTAAATAGAATGTTACACACTGTGATTTTGACTAAGCCTCAGCTTAACAGGGTTCGATGTCGATTTGTGTTCCTCAGATCATTTCCGTTGATGAGTGACTGCTGATGGCACCGTTAGGGTAGAAATTTGGTGGAGAGAAAGGCAAAGCGAGGGACTAAGTGGTGCAATGCCTAACACGCTCGCCCATAAAGGGTAATTGTGGGTTAACATCTGGACTCGTGTTATAAGGTTAGACCTATCATGTGCTATGTAGACAGGCATACATGTGAAATAACTTAGTTTATAAACTTAATTCTCATCCAGGTGTTGAAACACACCCCAACTCATCTCACAAATACCCAATAGTTATTAGATCGGCTACGTAATGCGTATCGCAACAACGCCTATGTGATCGACGTTATCGTCCTCTACAAACGTGTTGCATGACTCCGCTATGTAAGCAATCCTCGAAATTCGTATGCAAAACAAAGGAGCAATAATTATATGCGGCTTCTCGGTTCAGTAGCTCATAGCACTTCTAAAGGAGTGCCTAAGCTGCCCAATCTCCACATGGTCCGAAAAATACTACACACAAATTACAAGGCTGGCAATGGAATAGTGACTGCACCAAGCTTTTCCATTACCTCTAACTCTAATGTGTAAGCACTAGTAACCGATTTTCGGCTACTACTCTATTGTAGGTATATAGATTATTGCTCTGTCATTTGCTCCACACAAGAGGAAATGGAACAACGCTTTGAGTTGTTGAATGGACACTCCGACTACATAATACTCATCCGAGACAAACCGAAATATAATTGGCTTCTATTTATGAACATTTAAATCAATTCAAAAACTGGCTGAAAGAAAGAAAAAGCAAGGGCCCCAGCGGTGTAGCGGGTAACACTTGAGCCCGCGGAAGGAGTAATCGCGGGTTCGAATCTGACCCGAGGTCCAAGCTTTGCAAATATCTGAGCAAGCATCATAGTGGTTGTATCTAACATCATACCCTGCTATAAAAATAATAGTGCGCAGTGAATTAAAATAAACAAACTTGTCCGAAAACGACTACATCGCGAAGTGGTGCCAAAAGTTAAATAATAGAAACATACTGAATCATTATCTCCTCTCTCATCCCTCACACACAAAAAGGCGCTTGTGAGAAAAATGTTTCGAAAAGCCGCTAATGTGTACAACGAGAACCAAAGGAAGAATCCTTGAAATTGCCACGGCAGATAGCCATTTCCGACTACGAAACGGTAGCCCCTAATGATGAGTTTAGGGGGAAACCACGCCTCCAAACGATGTCCAGCGAGATTATCCTGCACTTCATTTCCAGCGAAATAAGGACAGCTATAAAAGCCTAAAATGGGCCAGTTTAGAGTAATCAGGAACAGTATTTGAAATACCACCGAACACTCAAAGATAACCGCCAGTTCGGAAGCGCCTGTATGATCGTCTAAACAGAACATAAAATTGCACAGTTTGTCCTAACAGTGAAGATGACGACTGCACGAGTTCGGGCACGGTGTATATAACGTGTTCTAAAGCGTGTGGTAACGAATAAGTTGACGAAATGGGAAGATCACTGTGCTTCCGCATAAAAGAACATTTAGTCAGTAAACTTAAGGTTAAAAGAAATACAAGATGAGACGTAGGACACAGAGATGCAACGGAGAGGATTTTGAAGTGAAATTTAATGTCCTCACACAGAAATCTAAAACATCAGCGTGTAAAACTCTTGAAATGTTTTGGATAAATTCCAAAGATCCAAACATGAACCGTAGATAAGAGTGCCTTATGATCACGTGTGACCTCACACCGTATCTCAGGATGTTTCTTGATGTGAGCCAATCTCATTCCTCACCCATGTACAACTTTGTGCGGCTGGTCTCCAACAACACTAGCGAACTTACAAAATGGTGAGTGTTCAAAAGAAGCAGCTTAATATGTGAGTGGAAATTTATGTACGATTGATCTGTAAGATTATGAAAGTGTTTGACTGACGATTTTACGTGTCAATTTGACTTTTCCACACTCCAAAGAAGGCAAAACCGCGGAGAAGTCAGCTATTGTGAATAAATAAATACTACAGTAACAACATTGTATTTGCTCACCAAGACGGTAGTGAACATAACAGCAATTATCTTCTCAGTGAAATTCGTCTTCCTTAGAGCCCTTCTCCTCCGAACTACTAGGCGATGAGATCAGAATGTAGCGTCCACATCGGGAGACAAATGGAATTACAAATCTACCGTTTTAACCACATCTTGTCAACACACGAAGAACTGTTCCACAGAACACCGAATGTGCTTTTTCGATTAATTGAAAATTGATAATACCTCAAATGATCGTTGCAAGTAAGTGGTCTGGATGGCGTTGCACACGCTTTGGAGTCGCTTAGAAAAGAATCCAGATCAAAAACTACTTGAGATGGAAACTTCACACTAGCCTGGGCCCGACCGATTTCGTGGGCAAGCACATCTCTGAAACACTTTTCACTGTTCCATGGAGAAAGTATGAAAAATAAAGGCGAATTAAAAAATATGGAGATTCAGATTCACAACGGAATACAGATCAAAAGAGGCATATTCAGAACTTGTAAGTCATCTGCTATACACCAGTTAAATCCCCTTCCTTTTCGCTGCTGCTTTACCTTTCGATATTTTTGTAAAAATTCAAAATAAAACTTCTTCAACTAGAAGGATAAAGTATAACAATTTTTGCATGTTCTCATGAGTGGATGCTTGGTAAATATAGGAAAAACTGATTTCCGGGCTGAAAACACCCAGCTGGATGAAAGCCATAATCTTGTTTTCTAGGTTCACTGTGCCCTCTAGATATTACCGTAGATATTATTGAATGGTGATAAAGCAGATGTTAGAGATAGAAAGGCTTAGACTGAAAATAAATTTGCTCTAGAGACATGAGCATCAAACTGTTCGTCCGAAGGAGTTTTTGACAAGACGCTAAACATCAATGGCTCGCCATCCAACTTCTCTGTAAGAACTAGATAGTGTTGCGCATTGCTTGTGGGCCTTCCGTGGAGTATATGAGATAACTGCTCGAATTGATCACGAATCGCTCGTGTATAATACTTCCCAGGCACTTGACTGCAAGTTTCTGGAGGAACTCAAGTGCACGATATACTCAAAACCTATGGAATGGACATGATTACGTAAATATGTTAGTTCGGCGCAGCACAGACAGAAAGCTTACTCCATAAATCACCTTCCAGGGCAAATACAAAATTGATTTTAGACTATCCTTTTCATCATATAATATCTCATGGAAGTCAATCACTGCTACCACCATTTTGAAGTGACTAGCAGGTTATGCTCGATCCATTCTTGCATTTTTAATAATTTTCCATTTCATATGACAACGATAATACAACAGAGTGGTAGGCATGAAATAACATTCATGTTATTTATCTTTATATTTATGTAAAGCAAAATTATCGTTCAATGAGTTCGTTAAAAAAAGGATTTTGTATATTCCTACGTATAAAATAAAAACTTTTTCGGTAAACATTCCCCCACAATATCTATGTTGAAACAGCTATTCCATGGTCATAAACAGCTCCATGCGGCAAAATACATCCGAAAAGGAAACAGATGCATAGGATCCAATGCGGTTCGTCCAATTCGCCCTTCTACGCAATGCACAAAACACAATGAACTGCGGTCAATGTGCTAATGTTGCTTGAACAAATCTATTTAAAAAGCGAGAAGTGTTAAAGTTTATCGGACAAACCTCATGCTTGTTCCTCCATTACAACGTGGCTGCCTTGATAAATCTACATCCGGATTTTGTGATTCCGGAAAAGCTATTTTAACGAAAGGGATAACAGAACGAGTTGACTGAAAAAAGCAACGCCAAGATATAAGATCTCCACACTCTTTAGATTGTACTGTGCTTATTTATTACATATTTACTTCGACACTTTGATCGCTCGTTCTCACTGGTTGTGCAGGCATCAGCACAATCACCATTTGTCGGAATTTTCCGGCTTAGCCATTGTGGCTTCCTGGTGTCCAGAGGTCAGTCTAGCCAAAGTCTGCCACAGGTCGTCACACCACAGGCAGTCACCGCCCCTGTGGATCAGAGAGAGATTTGCCACCATGCGACTAGTTTGGTACCGGAACGGTGGTGGACCCTGGTGTCGGTTTACTTCTTGCTAGGCTTCCTGATGGAAACGGTGGACTCTTTCTCAGCTTGGAAGACCATGCAGGGGGATGAATACCTCCGCTGTACATCGCAGCT